CAGGCCCCCTGGAGCCAGCAGCCAAGGTATGGAGTTGTCATGGTCGCGGGAGGCAGGGCAGAGAGGATCAGAGCTGCCCTGACCACACCAGGGAAGGGAACGGAGCTTCGGAGGAAGCTGGGCTCCAGGGCTGGAGATTGCCAGGATCTGGTATGGGGGAAGCCGGGGAGTGCTAGAGGGCCGCACGCATGCTGCTCCCCCTGTCTCTGATCTGTCCTGCCTGGCAGCTGGGGTGGGGCTGGCAGAGGAGGGAGGAGGGCAGGGAGGGGGACTGCCCAGCTGGAAGAGGCCTTGTCTAATTGTGCCTGATTAGCAGAGAGGAAGAGAACAGGGTGAGTGATTAATAGTCACGGCAGTCACCAGCGAGTGGGGAAGGAGGGTTGGGAGGGGGAGGGAAGTCTGAGAGCCAAGAGGGGATGGAGACAGTGAAGTGCCCACAGGTCCCTGGTCCCCTGCCCCTCCAAGGACTGGCTGGACCCTGGACGACCCACAGAGAGAGGCTGGGTCCTACCCCTGCCTCCTCCAGGATTCGCCACCTCCCCCACGCCTCAATTTTCCAGACAATAGAATGGAAGAGAAAAGAACCGAGGTCGTGTCCTGCACCCAGGAAGAAAGATGTATCAGCTCACGTGGTGTTCCCAGACACCCCAGACACAGGTCCTGTCCTCAGCTCAGCCCGGGACCTCAGCCCGGACCATAGACTCCCAGAACTCCCAACCAGAGCCCACACCCACCACCCACGTCCTTTGATGCCAGTTGGAATTCCCAGCCCTGCCCAGTCCTGCAGTCTGAACGTAGTTCCTAGGCCCACTGAGAACTGTGCCGTCCATGACGGTTGCCACTAGCCACTTGCGGCTATTTGAATCGAACAATTCATTTTCTCGGTCACACGAATCACATGTCAGATGCTCAACAGCCGGCGTGGCTAGTGACTACCATGTGGGACAGCACAGATACGTTTCTGCCACCCCAGAAATGTTCTGTGGGAGAGCACTGATCTGGAGAGAGTGTGCCTGCACGCGTGCACACAAGCACGTGAATATTTGGAAGGGGGTGAGTAGCATAGGAATGCTTAGTAGGCAGGGGAGGGCCTGGGCCTGAGGATCAAGACAGCCGGAAGGCCAGGTGATGGCAAATAGCAAATATGCCAGCAGGTGGGTGGGTACCAGCAGGTGGTGCTGGGAATAGTCAGGTAAGAGAGCAGGGACCTGTGGCGGTAGCCTTTGTAATAGCGGACGCTTCCACAGGACACACTATGTGCTTGCCAGGCAGTGTGCTAAGTTCTTTTCTGCCACCTTTTTAATCCTCTCAACTGCCTGAATTTTCTAGGATCTAATATTGTATTTACTGGATGTGGAAACGGAAGCTCACGGAAGCTTTTTGACTTCTCCAAGGCCACACAGCTTAAAGGGTAGAGCGGAGGTTCAAATCCAGACGGTCCGGCTCCAGAAACACACACACTCAACTGTTCGGCCATACACACCCCAGCTGAGAGGAGAAGCTGAATTTTAGAGCCACCCTTGCATTTTACAGCTAAAGAGATGAAGCCCAGGGAGAAAGAGTGATTTCTGCCTTCTAGTAAGTGGGCAGGCTGAGAGCAAGCCGCAATGGGGAAAGTGTGGCTGGGGCTTGGAGCACCAGGGTGGGGGGGAGCAGATGGTGGTGGAAATCGGAGGCAGGGAGAGAACATATAGGTGGTGAGAGCAGGAGGCGAGGTGGGAGTGGGTGGGTGGGTATGAGACTGTGTAAGGAGGGGGAGGGGAAGAGGAGAAGGGACCCTGTAAGCTGGGCGGAGGGGAGCAGGGGTGGAGGGGTGAGTGTTCCCCACCACCCAGGAGCTCTTTCCTCTCTCTCTCCCCTCCTCTCCAAACCTCCCAGGCCTGCCTCACCCCTTGAACCCTCCCAGCCCTCCTCGGCCCAGAGTGGCCTCTCTGTCTGAACCCAGGCTCTTACTATCCCTGGACCTCTTTGGGCAATGAATCCTGGCAGCTCCTGACACTGCTTGCATGGCTGGTTAACTCTTGCATGGTTGGTTAAGCTTTTGAGTGTCCCCGTCTCTGCTCCACCAGGAGAGTGTAGGCTGCTTGAGGACAGGGACCGGGGACCGGGGACCAGGGCTTCCCGTCTTTGTCCACCGCCCCCCCCCCCCGCTGCCCCACCTAGCAGGCACACAGTAGGCATTCAGAGCTCCGTGTTGATTGGGTGAGTGACTGGGAGTCAGTGAGGGGGTATTTGGGAGCGTGGGGGTGAAAGCAATTGCAGTGGTAACAGAAGCAAGAGCAGCAGCTTAGGGGACTGGGGGAGGGCACATTACCCAGAGTAAAAATAGGCTGGAAAATGTGACATTTATTAACTTGGATTCTGGAGGAAAGGTCACAGCAGAGTGGGGAGTGGGAAGGAGGAAGCAGGGAAAGCCACAGAAAACACATCACAGCCCCTTACCCAAAGCCTGTCATTGTCACTGACCATCTCACCACTCACACCCTGGCAGATTCCCTGTACCCGTCTCCCCACCCTAGAGCCCCAGCCTGAGCTCCGTGTTCTTAACCACAGGACACAGGACCTCGTTGTCCTCCTTAAAGACCCCTTGTGTTCAGCTCCTGCCCCTTCTCCAGTCTTGCCCTGCAGCGCACCCCCACCTTCCCCGCTGCCACACATCGTGAACCGCCATCCCAGCCCGCATCCCAGACCCTGGTGAATCTGCAGCAGACTCAAACCCTAGAAGGCCAAGTCCAAGGGAGAGTGACACCCAGCAAACGGTAGACGGGCAGAAGGCTATGGGGTCTAGATTGGGCGGGAGACAGGGAACCCAGGATCGACAGGGGGGCGTCCCGGCCCCCCGGTGCTTGCTTTGCCCCTCCGCCCTTCTTGGGTGTGCCGCAGCCCGAAGCTGAGACCCACAAACTTCTGCTGCTCTCCTCTCTGGTAGGAAAGGCCCTGCTGGACAACCCCCACACCCCCACTCACCCCCTTAGCCATCTCAGGATTCCCAGAGACTCCCTGCTCCCACATCCTCCAGGCAACTCCTTTCCTAGAGCCAGGCAGGAAACCCCTGCTTCCCTCACCTTACCCCCCCTTCTCCATCTCTGTCTCTCCCTCCCACCACCCTCCTTCCCACTGAGGTTTCAACACACTTCCCCTTTCCTTTCTACCCCCACCGACCAGGGGCCTGGGAGGCAAACTCCCGCTCAGGGACACAAAGCTCGCATTGATTTCTGCCCCACCAGCACCTGCTGAGACTGGGCTCTGTCCCCCTCCCCCCAACTCTGAGGGGTGAGGATGTCAGCCAGAGGGGCTCCATGGACCCAAAAGGCCACATGCACATGCTCTGCGCCTCACCTCCTTCTTGGGGACTCTCGCAGCCCTGGGTTTGGGAGCAGTGATGTTTTCCTAGAAGTGGGGTGTGTGGTCACACAAAAGCCCAGTGCCCCCCACCCGGCGCAATCCCTCCTTCCGGTCCCTCCATTTCTACACAATTCCCCCCACACCCAGTGGCAGGAGGACCCAGGGGCTGCAGGCATGGGTAGTGGTTACAGGAGCCTCATAGGGGCACGCTTCCTGCGGGGGCTGAGGCAGTGAGTGAGTGAATGGGAACCTGGGCAGGGGGAAGGAAAGCCCCCTCCCATCTTCGGGGCAGGCCACTGGAGGCTGGCTGGACTGGGCACCATGTTGACGCCACGTATTTGCATATGCACCGGGCACTGGTAACAAGGATGCGAGCACACATGTATACAATGCTGGAGTCAACCGGGGACCTGGGGTCTCTAGCACCAGGGATAATAGCTACCCTGTGACTGTGGGTGAATGGAGCACTGACTGACAGACAGACAGACAGCACACAAGACACGCCCCCTGCGCTCACACCTGACTGTGGGAGGTGTGCATGGGAGGGCAGCCCAAGCCCACACTCCCGATCTCAATGAGAGTGTGTGTGTGTGTGTGTGTGTGTGTCTGTGTCCACACACGTGAGAGAGATGGCACTGCCACCAGCAGTCCCCGCATGGGGCTCAGGGATTGAGATAGATGGGGGTGGGCATCACAAAGGGGATGGCCTCCACAGTGTGACCCTGTCCTCAGCAGCTAAGTAAGACCTGGGATGTGGGCACGGACATGAGTAGCTCTCGGTGTGTGGGTGTGCAGGTGTGGATGTGAGTGTAGTGACAGGGACACTGAGTATAAGAGAGGGAGTGCAGAAAACTGTCCCTGAGCAGTAGGGGTGTGTGTGTGTGTGTGTGTGTGTGTGTTGCTGGGTTGCTGTGAGGGTGAGCCATGCACAGAAGAGTGAATGAGTGATTCTCAGTGTAAGAGCCAGAGCCGGGCAAGGGACTAGCGAGAACCAGGAAACGGAGGGAGGGTAAGGGAGAGAGGCTGGAGGGGCAGCATGAAAGAGGGATGTGTGAGGGAGTCTGTGAAAGGGGGTGTGTATGAGAGACACAGAGACAGAGAAGAGACACTGGCGCCCAGTGTACACGAAGATCAAGATCGTCTCTATCCGGCCCGCCGGTCGGGCCAGCTCCCCAGGAGGCAGCCCTGAGTCCCTCTCTTGCTGGAGCCCCCAAACACCCTCTTCCCAACACCCTCATTCAGTGGGGAGAAGAAGCCAGAAGAAAAAGGGAACAAGAGATAAAGCGGGGGTCAGTTGGCCCGGCCTTGGCACGGTGCAGCCCTTCCCTGCAAGCTGCCCGGCTTCAGGGCCCCCCGGGCCCACTCCAGGCCCCCCGGGCGCAGACCTGGGACTGCGGTAGCAGCAGAGTCAAGAAGAGGAGCAACAGCCCCAGTGCCAGGGTGAGCCCCGGGGAGCGGCCCCCCGCTCCGTGGCTGGGGAGCAAGAGGGGAAACACCGGGCTTGGGGGAGACACCAGGCCAGCCTCTGGTGGCTGAAGGAAGGGAAGCCCTGTGGAGGATGCCCCTGCGCGCCACCTCCCCCGCCTCCCCCCCCCCGCACCCCTCCCCCGGCCTCCGGCCACCCCAGGCCGGGCAGGCCAGCTGGCAGGACTCACCACGGAGAAGTTGCTGGCGGAACAGTGGTGCCCACTGAAGTTGCAGCTCTTGAGCATGTCGGCAAGCTGGTGGCCGGTGCGGTTGAGGATGTCTACCATGTCGGGCTCCGGGTAGCGCAGGCCGGCAGCACGGTGTCCGTCCCGGTCTTTGGGGGGCAGCCCCGTCAGGTTGGCCAGGTGGAAGATGTCGGCGTCGCTGAGTGCCGAGTGCCGGAAGCGGTTGATGTTGCAGAGGGTGACGGCCGGGAAGCCCGCCACCGGGGCTGGGGCAGCAGGGTCCATTGCCACCAGGTGAGGCCGGGTCAGGTAGCCCCGGGCCAGGCCAATAGCCTGGTACAGGAAGGCGGCCAGCGAGGTGAGTAGGGCCAGTGCCCACAGGGTTCTGCGCAGTCCGTGGGGGCCTGGGCCACAGGCCCGGCCCAGCCCGTGCAGAGTGCTGGTGCTCGCAAAGGTGGCCAGGTCCCGGGGGGCTGCTGCCCCCTGTGCCGCCCCCAGGAGGCTTTGCTCATCCCCTGCCTCCTTCTCCTTGGGTTTCGCATCCTCCTCTGCAAATTTGATTTTGCACACAATCTCGATCGGCATCTGTCCCTGGCTGCTGGGACTGGCCAGAGCCTCCCTGCCCCTGTCCCTCCCTGGCCAGCAGCCCCCGGTGCCCTCCGGAGTGGCGGTGGTGGCAGCGGCTGCTCTTCTAAACTCAGGGAAGCGGGAGGAGGACAGGGACAGGGTGGGGGCCCGAGGTGGGGGAGTCACTCCCACTCCCAGCAGCTCCGCAGCCCTCGTGCTGCCTCTGCTGCTGCTGCCTCTGCTGCTGCTTGTCTCTCTCCTCGATCGTCTCCTTGTGGCTTCCCTTATCAGCACCAGCACAGCTGTCAGCCCCTGCGTGTGTCCCTGCGAGCGAGCGAGCGAGCGAGCGAGGGAGTGAGCGCTGCTCCGCCACGCCGCGCAGCCCCAGCCGCTCCGCTCAGCATGTGCTCCGGAGCCCACCCCGTGCTTAATAATTCAGGACATGTCAACAGAGCTTCACCGGCGGCACTGGCGGCAGGAGCCAGGCCAGCGGCGGAGGCAGCCCCCAGCCCTGGATGGGGGGTCCCTGGCCCCTGCCTTAGATCTTGTCAGGCTGCTTGCTCCCCCAAACTCCTGTTACACCCTAGGCACTCATGGGGTCCCCAGATGGCCCCACTTCCAGGCCACCCAGGGGAGAGATCTGCACCCAGAGTCCTCCGCTCATTCTGCCACTTCAGGGGGACCATACCCAGGGTCAGTCAACGCCATCTCCCCCTCCCCCGACTCCTGACTCCTGCCCCAGCACCCAGCCATCTCCTGCCCCCAACTACCACACTCGCAGCGGCTTCCAGAAACTCCTTGGGAGAGCCACTTGTTTGAATGAGGGAGGAGGAGAGGGCAGAGGCGGACAGGCAAGGCAGACAAGGGGACAAAGGTGACTCCACCAAGATTCTTGACTGGTCCGGAGCTTTGCTGCCCGCCTTACCCCCGCCCATCCTGGGATGCTGGCCAACCCCTCCGCCCCTAAACTCAGTCATTCCTGTGTCTGGGACAGAGGGCACCCTGGCCGCTTGAACATCTGTGACCACATTTTTCTGCCCCAAATGCTCCCAAATCCTTTGCCATGCCTGCCTAGGGGTTGGGGGAGGGTGTTGGGTGAACAGGCCAAGGGGCAGGGAGGAGGTGTGATGGGGGAGAGGGTGTGGAATGGAGGGAGAGGAAGAGCCCAGATGGGGATTTGGAGGGAGGAGAAACATGTGGGCTTGGATGGGGAGCACTATCCCAGAGGCTGAAGCAGGGGGCCACCAGCAGATGAGGGCAGGGGAGCCCTGGTGAGGCTGCTGGCTTGCGGAAGGGAAGCAGGCTTGTGGGTTGTTATCGAAGGCAGGGGTGGGGCCCCAGTTGGCAGCCCGGGAGGAAATGCCTTGGTGCTCCCCGGCTGGGGTGCTCCTGGCGAGCAGCTTGTGTTCTGGGGGGCCCGCGTGGGAACGTGAGCCCTCGTGGGGGAGGAAGCACTTGTCCCCCAGAGGAAAGGGGGGGCTGATTAATCGGGGCACTAATGAGCAGCAGGGAGAGGAAGCTCAGGGGGGCGGGGGAGGCGGCTCCATCGATCCAAGCCTCGGAACCAGCAGCTGAAAAAAAAGTGAGAAGGGAATCGATCTGAGGGAAACGGCAGCTGCTGGGGATTAGAGCCCGAGGTCCACCCGCTGCCCAGAGGCCACCCCTCCCCTGTGTCAGGCCTGCCCTGGCAGTCGCACGCAGCCCCCGCCTGGGCCCGGAGGAGGGGCCTGAGGGAGGCTACCCAGGGATGGGGTGGGTGCTGTAGAGAACCACTGGGGCCCCCCTGGCTGTGAGACCAGATCAACCCTGCCCTGGCCACACTTGGCACCCTGCTGTGTTGTCCCTAGCCGCTCATCAAAGTAGCTTCCTGTTGGGGGGAGGGGGCTGGGGGGGTGGTACCGGGCCGTTTCCACAAAAGCCAGTTCCCCAAGCTAGCTCCCCAAGCTGGGAAGATAAGGCCCCTGGGGGTCAGGGCTGCACTGGCCGGCGGACTCCCAGAGGGGAAAGTGGGGATTAGCACTCAGAGTCTCCAAGTGACCACAGACAGTGCCCCTTTCTCTACCCCCTACCCAGACAGCTCCCTGCCCTGTTCTGCCCTCCTGGCTAGACTCCTAGACCCTTCTAGTGCTTCAGCCCCACCTCCTCCTCCTCCCCCAGCCTCTCTTCCCCTTTCTTCTAGTATTGATTTTTCTTTACTGGTTTTTTTTTTTTAAGGTGATTTAATTGCTTTTTTAAGGTTACTTCAGTCTGGGGCTCTGCCAAGAAATCAGGGAGCTGCCCCCCAAGCTCTCCCCAGCACTCAATGCGTGTCCCTAAATTGCCCTGGGATCCACTGAGATCACGGGGTCATACTCCCCTAACGTGCTGGCCTCCGTCATCATCAGCCCAAATTACACTCCGGTGGAGGGCACAAAGTTGGGGGGTGGGTGGAGAGGAGAGTTCAGGCCCATGGGGAAGTAGAACCGCACCCACCGCAGCCAGCTGTCTCCAATTGTCCCCAGGTCCCCATCACCTCCTCTCCCAGACCCCTAGGAATCTGGTTACGCTTGGTGGGAGTCCCCTTCCCACATCCCTGCAGCCCATCCTGTGCCTCCCCCTCCAGTCTCTTCTGTCTCCCCTGCCCCCGACACCCCCTTCCCCTCTGGCCCCCATCCTCCCCCCCCCCCCCCCCCCCCCCCCCCCCCCNNCCCCCCCCCCCCCCCCCCCCCCCCCCCCGCTTCCCTGCTTGCCTTCCTCTCTGCCCGGCTGCAGTTGGGTGATAATCTCCCTCATTTAGCCTCCCGGCTGCTTCCCCGGCTCATTGCCCAGCTGGTCCCTGGGGCCCGGCCCAGCTTCTTCCCCGCCCCCACCCCCAGCCCTGCGCCCAAGCTCCCCCATCCCCTCCTGGCTTCCTCCGCCCGCTCCCCAGGGACCACCTGCCCCCTGCAGTGAGCATCAGGGCCAAAGTGTGGTTGGCCAAGACCTCAGCTGGGTATGAGCGGAGGGGGAGGGTCTGCCAGGGACTCGGTTCCAGAGTCGGTGTGGGGCACAGGAGAGAGAGGCACGGGACTGAGGGGGCGTCGGAGCCACGCTTCCTCTGCTCTCCAATTGTCCCCATTTCCCAGATTTGTTCCTAGTCTAATCTCCACCCATCTCCATCCCCCAGAGGGTGAACTAGGGCCTCCTGATGGCGGTGGATGGACTGAGAGGCAGAGATTACAGCGGCATCTGTGCAGCCAGATAAGGCAGGGCACGGGAATGGGGGACAGAGGGTTCTTAGAGAGCGCCTGAGAAGGTGCAGCTTTTATTTGGGCAAACTGGCTCAAAGGCAGACCCAGACACCTCTCATGATCCAGCTTGGGGGTTCCTAAGGGAGCCTCCAAGATCCTTCCTACACCCAGGCTTTTAGGGCTCCGCCTCTTTTCCCAGCAGAGAGCCCCCCCCCATGCTGAGTTGCACCTGCCCCTTCTCACCTTTGTGTCGGCCTCAGACTCCCTTCCTGGGTGGCCTGCACATAAATGACGTGACACCCCCCAACTCTTAGCATTCTCCTAGAGACAGTCCCCAGCCTCCCCTGGCTCCCAGTGGACACGCTGCCATCCTTCCCAGCCCAGACACCTGTCCCAGGCCTGGCTCTGGTGTGGACCAAGGGATGAGCTAGTGCGGGACAGACGTGGGCGGGAAGGGACAAGTGTGGGGGGGGGTGGAGGCCGGGACTGGGCCAGGCCTGGCTGGTGAGCGAGCAGCGGTGACAAACGGGCTGTGCGGGGGCCGAGGGGCGGGGGGCGGACGGCGGCTGATTTATCTGGGTTATTTATGCCGCGGACGAGGCAGGAGAAGCGGTTAATGAGAGTTCCAGTGAAGGGGGTGGGGAGGCCCGGACGTGATCTGAGGCGACTGAAGAGGGTTAGCGTCCCACCGCCAGGCCCTGCCCCCACTGCCCGCCAGCACTCTGCACCCCCTACCCTGTCCTGGGGCCAACCTGGCCTGATCTCCTGTGGCTCATCCTACCTCCCACCCCCCATCCCCTTTTGGGGCTGGCCAAGCCAGGGCAATGGATCACTGGGGCTGAAGGACCCAGGTCCAAGATCGAGGGGCAGGCGCCCGGAGAAACTGAAGAGGGGACCAGGAAAGGGAGAGTAGGAAAGGAAGAAGGTGAAAAATCTTGGTTAACCAGAAACTGACCAAGTCTGTGGGGCCTTTGGGGGAGGGGCGGGGTAAGGGTGGGGTAGGAAGAGACCAGGGTGGGAATGGGTGGGCACCTGGCAACCTCAGAACTGAGGCTGGAGAGGGGGGGAAAGGGCACTGGAGTGCAAATCTGGGGTCAAGCAGGAGCCATCGTGGAGGCCTGAGAGACAGACCGGCTGGGAGTGGGGGGTGCTGGTCAGAGAGAAGAGGGAGCCAGGGAAGGAGGGGGAGAAGATCCAGAGAAGGAGGGGGAGAGGGCTTTGCAGCAGCGAAAGCTGCTGGGAGCAGATAAGGCGGCACAGCAGCAGGAGGGATTAAAGCTCTGAGGGGCGGAGGCGGGGGCTCTGAGCAGGACCGAGGGGTGGGGTGGGGGGTAGGAAGGAGAGGGCTGAGGGCAGGACATCAGGGCCAAGGAGGCGAGCAGGAAAAACAAGGGCTGCGAAGGGGGCAAGATTAAATCAGGGGCCAGGAGGTGGCTCTTGCCTGGCAGGAAGGAAAGAAAGGGTTCCCGATCATCTCTTCGGGGCATGGGGACTTTGCCACTATTGGCAAGCCCCCATCCCGGACGATTACCAAGGGTGGCAGAGCTAAGCACGGGGGAGCAGGGCAGGTTGGGTGGGTGGGAATGGCAGGGGCCAGCCCCGGGAGCCTCTGAGCTCCAGGCTGGAGAACAGAGGGCACTCAGCGCCTCCTTGAGGTGGCCCATGGAACTCTGCCGTGGGGAGCAACCGTCAAGAGTGCTCAGCCCACCCGCCCCGGGACGGAGACCCCATCACGCCCAGGGTGGCAAGAACTAATGTCTCGAGAGGGATTTCTTTGTAGGGAGGAGTGTGGGGACGGAGGGAGGGCAGTGGCTTTCCCAGGCTCCCGGTTCGGACCCAGTGGCCCCTAACCACCTCCTGCCCTCCCGTTCCCCAAGCCTCCCAGAAAGGTGTGCTCAGGCAGGGTGAGGCCCCTGCTCCCTCCCGCGGAGTCGTGGTGGCCGAGGCGGCGGCGAAGGGGGAAGCCTGGAGGGAAGGAAGGGGAGGAGGAAGAAGGGGCGGGGGGAGGGGAGCGGGGGTGGCAGGCGGGGCAGAGTAATTGCGTGTTTGTCAGTTCTCCTGTCTGCACTGGAGGGAGCGTGTGTGGTGGTGGGTGTAGCTTCGCCTCAGGAGTATGTGTCTGTTGGCAGAGGTGTCAGTGTGTCTGTCTCAGGGGTCTGGGCTCTCCTTGGCCCCCGCCCTCCCCTTTGTGTTTTGGGGAGCGCAGCTCTGGGCACACCCAGCTGTGCTCCGTGCTGATGCGGCAGATGTGGCGGGGCCCCAGCTGTGCCTGCTTTCCGGAGAGGGGGAGGGGGCCGCAATCTGCTCCCCCGATAATGGCTGCTAAGCGCCTGGGGGAGGGGAGGGAGATGGGGGTGGGACTGGGGCCCTGGTCAGCTCCGCCAAAGGGACAGGAGGGAGATGAGGGCCCTGCCCCCACCCCACCCCAGCCTGGCCAACCTCCCCCCAATCTGTGTTCTTGGCTCGGCCTCTCCCCCTCGCTGGCTCCTGAAGCCCATCCAAATTTCTCTCCAAGCGCAGTCCCGGTCCCCAGCTCTCCTCCCATAGCCCCATCCAGCTCGGTGCCAGGGACCTGCCCCCCTCCCCAGCCCCCAGCTTGCTCCCCCTCGCTGATTTTACAGAATCATCTTTTTATGGAAACCTAAAAAAGCACTAATGGCAGGAGCGCACCCCTCCCCCGCTCACCCCCACTTCCCACCCCAGCTCCCTCCATTCTCCCTTCTCAAACCCTTTGGGGGGGCATCAGGCTCCTACTTGTACAGGGCCAACGAAGACCTAAAGGTGGTGAAGGGGGCTCCCACATCCTGAGCTCTGCCATCAGACATGGACTGGATGCTGGGTCCCTCCCGGGGTGGACCAAGGCTGGAGGGGAGTGGAGGGCATTACAGCTCCTTCCTGGACCCCCACCTCTGCCTGAGCACACACACAGCAGCCTGGTGGGAGGGGGCATGTTACAAGGATCTCAGCTACACTAGCCCCCCCAACACTTTAAACACTGACCCTTTCCCCTTCCAGTGCCTCTCCCCACCCCCACTGGGCCTAGGAGGGGTGTCCCAGGGGCCAGGGCCTGACACAGACTTATTGGATTTCACGGTGTTTTGCTGAGAAAATAATTAAATTATCATATTTATGATGGAGCTGCTATGGCCTCTGCCAACCACTTGGAACAGAAGGGTCAGGACTGGGGGGAGGGCAGGGAAGGGACCCAGTCCCCAGCCCCATAGCCCATCTCTCTCCCAGCTCCCCCAGGGAGTTGACCCCAGGCCTAGCGTAGGCATCTGCTGCTCCCTCCCAGCCCACGCTGATAATGGAAGGTCTGGGCTGGAGGCAGAGACAAGAAATGGGAAAGGGGCTGAGTCAGGCAGGCTGGAGGTCGGGACTGCTGAAACCTGGCTCCTTTCACACAGGCTCTCATACAGCCTGCTGGGCCTGAGGGGACGGGGAGGTCACCTCTAGTCCAAGTTCCCACACTTCCCTCAGCCTAGCTCTGGGGAAAGCACATCTTCCTAAGTGCCCAGCTCTGAAGCTCTGAAAGCCTGGCCTCTGTCCCAGACCCTGGTGCTGATGACAAGGCCCCCGGCACCCTGCCGCCCGCCACCCCTGCCTGCTGCCAGGACCCCCTCCTCCCTCCCACCCACGCCCTGCCCCCCCATTCTCTTTGGGTAATTAGATTCCTCTCAATTAGCAGATTACGATCATTACCAGCTCATCTGGCAACTAAGCTCCGCACCCACAGCTGGGGAAAGAGGGGGGGCACCAAGAGGTGCACATGGGGGTCACGGGCAAACGTGATAGACGGCTGCGTTTCTCTGGGGCTTCAGGAATGCGGAGAGGGCTTAGACCTCCCAAAGGGCAGAGTCAGGGTGGCGGGAGGGTGGCCAGGGCCCCTCGCCTCCCAGTACGAGGGGGACCCCACTGTGCTTCCGGCACCAGTTTAGGTCTGTCCCACCTGCCAGGGGAGTAGGAGACAGACACCAACCAGGCCTCGGGCGGGGAGAACCCCCCACCCCGCCAAGAGGCTAGGAGCAGATGGAGCTGGCAAAGCGGAAAACTGGCTGGAGCTGGGCTGGGCCGAAACAGGAAAGGAACCACCGGGTGATCCAATCTCAGGCCTGAGGCGTCCCTGAGCCCACCGCCAGCACCCCGCGCACGGCCCAACCGAAATCCTTCACCCTTCCCTTCAGAATCCTTCCACTCAGAGCTGGAGCCAGGGCCAGTGAAGAGGAACTGGGAGGCTGGCAAGCCAGCAATGCTGGAGTGCGGGTAAAGGCGGGGGCCAGGCAGGCTGGGAGCCTTGGGGGCCTTCCTCCCTAGGAGCACAGGAGGCTAAAGGCACTGGGAGGGGGAGATTTACCAGGACTCCAGATTCATTATTCATGAGCCGGCAGCGATGACTCCAATTTAAATGCTAATGTGGGGGGGCCTGACTCAGCTGCCCCCCTGCTGCCCCCACCCCCACCTCCCAGCCCAGGCACAAACGGGAGTCCGTGCTGGCTCCAAGGTTCACTGGGGTTTATTAGGGAGTGAGGAGGGAGGCCGGGGAGACCGGCCACCCACGTTGCTCCTGACAAGTGAAGAGCCTGCCTGGCTTCCTCTGGTCCTTTTGGACAGAGGCCGGCCGTGCGGGCAGTAGCCTCGAGGGGGGTGGGTAGGAGTTGGGGGCCTTCTGGCAGCCCCCCTCAGAGGATGATCTGGTTGGTGAAGCTGCGGCTCAGCTCCTTGTGTGGCAGAACAATTGAGTTCAGGATGAGCACCTCAGCAGGGATCCGGACGCGGCAGCCTGCAGGGGGGAAGAGGGCACCAGGAGGAAGCCACGGGGAAGGAGACCAGAGGCCAGGAGCTGGGGCCACTGCCATTCGGGAGGGATCCCTCCCGGCCCATCTGTGTCCTGGCCTCTTGCCCCTAGTGACTCAAATCAGGGCCTGGCACACAGCAAGCACTTGGTGAATGTTTGCTAAAGGAGTAAACACGCACGTGTATGTGCACCCACACATGCGCGTGCACACACACATGCACGTGCATGCGTGCTCCCCACAGGGCAAAGCTGTCACCGCGGAGGTTTTCCATGGCCCCCCCATCCCCTAGGAAGCCATACCTAGGATGGTGATGGCCGGCAGCAGCTTCCCATCCTTGAAGAGGCTCTCACTGTCCATGTGTGCTCTGGGGTCATTGGGATTGGGGTCATTGGGGGTACCCTCCACACGGGCCCAGCGCCCCACAGTGCTCCCCCAGCCCACGATGGTGTGCAGAACACACGTATGCTCCTGCCAAACACAACAGTGTAAAGTGAAGGAGTAGAAGGGGCCAGATGCAAAGCCCCCCCGCCCCCCCGTTCACCCCCTCCCTTCCAGCCTCGGGGTGCCACGCCCTGCTGCGTGTGCCCAGCCACCTACCTGCAGCGTGGCTCCATGGAGGACTATGCTCTCTCGGAGCCGCACGCCCTCGCCCACGGTCACCCCCTCCCCGATGGAGACATTGGGGCCCAGCTGTGGAGAGGAATACATACTATGAGCCCTGGAGGGCCTTGGAGAAACCCGAATCCAACCCCTTCATCATAGAACAGATGCGGGGAAGGGACCTGCTTGTGGCCACACAATGGACTGACAACATGGAGCCCAGCACTCTGAGCTCAGAAGTGCCTGGCACCACCCCACCCAGCTGGACAGCCTGGCCCACCACTTACCACAGCCGATGGGGCCACCTTGGCTGTTGGGTGGATGTAAACATTTCCTAGAAGCAGAAGAGAAGATCTGGGGGCAGGGACTGAGTCTTCACCTCTGAATCTGAGGTTGGGAGTCATGGCTCAGAGGATACAAGGGGCTGGGGTTGGGGGTAAAGATGAGGAAGGGGGCAGGCTGGGTACCTCGGATTCGTGGACCACCTGGGCTGTGCTTGGCCAGGCGTTCTGGGTGAGTGAGCTGGTACTGGCCCAGGTAGAGGCGGGAGGCATAGAGGGCTGAGCTGGAGGGGGCCACGAAGTGGAAGAGGAGCTCAGGGCCCAGCAGGTGCCGGCCACCCGAAAGTCTCAACCCCCAGTCACCTCGCAGAGGCACACGTACCCTGCAGACTTGATCTGGCTCCAGATACCATCGGTGAGGTGTACATAGATCTGGCCCTGCCCAGCCAGGGCCGAGAATACATCTTGCTCCAGGCGGATGGTGCCTGCCCCCCGCCACAGGCCTGCAGAGTCCTCCCTGGCAGAGAGGAGAGGACGTGGGCATCAGTTCCCCGGCTGAGCCGGCCTGGGAGACCAACGCAGCCCCTCAGGGATAGGAACCTGAGGGAATCCCACCCCCCTTCCAGGTCTGGTCCGATCCTCTCCAACAGGATGCTTATGTCCCAGGAGACTCTCTGACTGCCCTTGCCCACATCACCCTCCCGCCCCTAGCTAGGGTGCTACCCCCCAGGGGATCCCCAGGCATGGACCCATACCCCATCTCTGCCCCATGTCTGAGGAGTTCACCCAGACATAGCTTCCTCCCGTTTTCCTCCTCTCCTCCCTGTTCACTCCTCCAAACCCCACCTCCGGCTACCCTCCCACTCACGGGATGGAACAAAACACAGACACTCACCCCAGAGGAAGACAGCTGGTGAGGGCAGAGACAGTCACAGAAAAAGAGGGAGAGAGAGAGAGATGGTAGAGATGCCAGCTCAGCAGAAACAGACAGAGGCCAGGAGAGATGGAGAGAAAAGCAGAGATGGATGGAAGTGAGAGACTGAGGCATGAGATGGGGGGCCAGGCGAGGAGGAGGGAGTGAAGGGCAGGACCCGTGGGGGTGGGGGAAACAGGTCCTGGGCCTACAAGGATGACCTGGGGAAGAGACTGTGGCCAGCAGGACTCTGGGCACTATGCTCCGAGGGGAGCTCAGCCTGACAGAGTATGTGTCTGTGTGTATGTGTGTGTCTCCCCCCCAACCTCCCCGCATGTCTCCACACCCAAGCGTGTGTGCGCCCAAGTGTGTGTGTTGCCTTCTGTTCTGAAAGACATCTCTGGGACACTTAGGGCTTGAGAGAAATGGACCAGAAGGGGAGTGGGCAGGCAGTGACAGAGGAGGAACTGGGATGGATAAGGAAGAGGGACAGAATGAGGTTAGAAGGGGAGGGGCTGGGAAGGCAAGGCTGGGGATGACAAGAGGAAAGGAAGAGGGAGGAGGAAGGTGAGCAGGTAGAGATGGAGCCTGCAGAGACTGGGGGGTGGGGGTGGGAGTGAGGGGGTGAAGGGGTCTAGGACGGGGTGGTACTTGGGTTACAGGGCCATGGGGCCCGCCTCACAGTTGCCCATCCTGCTGGTTACGCTGGAAGACATCCCGAAGGGGCTTCAGGGCTTCTGGGGAAAAGAGGTAGATGCCGCAGTTGATGATGTCACTAACAAAAGTGCTGGGTTTCTCCACGTAGTGCAGGACCTGGGGACAGAGCAGGCTGGGCTTGGTAGAGGAGGAGCCGCTGTCACCACCCCCTGAGACCTTCAGATCTCCAGGAGCTCCCTGCTGCCAGGGCAGTCTTCCTAAATGCAGTCAGTCACTGCCCTTCACCTTCAAGATAAGTCCCCAACTTCGTGCCTTTCCCTTCCCACTCCTCCCCACCTCCCAGCACCCTCGGAGCACAATTCAATGCCACCGCGTGCCTGCGCCTGGAATGCCCTTTCTCAGCTCTTCATCTAGAAAACGCAGCTTTCAAAACCCAGTCGACACTGCCACTGCCTCTAATCTAGTCCTGCCCCACAGTTTGCCTCTCAGGTCTGGGCACCCGTGGCCTCTGGCGACACCGCACTGAGCCACCTGTGTCATCTGCAATGTCTGAGTTGTGCCTGTGTTTCCCACTGACTGGGGGTTCCGGAGCGGCAGGGATTATATTTCTTTGGCTCAGTCTCTCTAACATCTAGCTGCTGCCTAGCATAAAACTTAAAAATCACACATGTTTATGTGTATGTGTGTATGTATACGTGTGTGTGCCTGTTGAGATGTATTTTTAATACTAAAGCTTGAGCAAATTAAAGGTCGGTGTGAAAGTCAATTGGGCTCAGGGGCCGGGAGTTTCACAAACAAGGACAGACAGCCTCTGCTTTGCCGTTCAGACCCCCTACCAGCAATGCCTTCCAGTCTCCTCCTTCCTCTATGTGGATTTAACTCAGCTCAGAGCTTGCCTCCTTCAGGGAGCTCTCCCTGCCCCCACCCAGGCAAGGCTGGGGTGGGCCTCCTTTTGTGTTCCCATAGCACCCTGCGCATACATCAATCAGGGCACTGACCCCAGGGAAACGAAACTCCTTAGCGCTTTGCCAATCTCTCTAGAAGGGACCAAAGACGAACAGCCAAGGGTATGCCCCACCAGTGGGACAGCCCTGGGGCCCAGCTAGCATTCTCAGGGTGCCTGGATGGTTCAGTCAGTTGAGCATCCGGCTCTTGATTTCAGCTCATGTCATGATCTCCCGGTTTGCGGGATGGAGCCCCACATCGGGCTCTGCACTGACAAGATGGCACCTGCGTGGGATTCTTTCTCTCCCTCTCTCTGCCCCTCCCCCACGTGTGTGTGTGTGTGTGTGTGTGTGTGTGCGCGTGTGTGTGTATGTGTATGTACACGTTCTCTCTCTCTCTCAAAATAAATAAATTGCTTAAAAAAAAACAAAAAAACCCCCAGCATTCCAGCATTCTCCAGAGGCAGAGGGGTGGGGGAATGATGACATAGAGTAAGAACCCAGCAAGCCCCCTCCCTGCTCTCACCTCGTGTGTCTGTGGATTCTCCACAATGCAGCCGTAGTTGAGGGATTGTGTCCTGTTAGCCTGAAAGACAGACACACCAAAATGACCTGCCCGCTCCCGGGCAGCAAGGTCTGTTTTCTAGCTTGCTTTCCCTCCTCTGCGGCACCTGACATGTATTTCTGCCACTGACAGGCCTTCAGCAGGGGGAGAACTGACAGCTGCCCTCCCCCTCCTTCTTTCCAGGCAGCCACAGGGCTCAGGGTCTCCACCGCCACCTCACCACCTCTGCTACTGCTGCGATTTCTCTTTCTCGCACATTTATTTCCCTCTTGCTGCCGGTTCCCACTCTCGCCCCCTGGGCTGCCCCTGCCTCCCCTACACTCTGCATTCCAGAACCTTCTCTGGATCACCCCCTTTCCACCCTCCAGCCCTTCTGGCCCCCTCACCGTGGTGCCAAGGAGCAAGAAAGGGTGAGGCTGGCGTCTGAAGGCATCCAACATAGCATTCAAAGGGAAGTCGGAGCAGACGTCGGCGTTGAGCACGAAGAAGGCCTCAGGGCCCCCAGCCAGGATCTGGTCCCGGAAATGGTAGAGACCACCCCCTGTGCCCAGGGGTGCAAATTCCTGCAGGTACCTGTCCCCAGGGACCCCAGAGCCAGCTCTGGTGAGATCAAAGGGAGGCAGATAACCTGAGCCTGGCACCTGACCCCTTCTGCGCCCAGGAGTACACCTGCCTAAGGCCAACATACTCAGGGATTCCGAGAGGCCCAAACAAGAAGCCTCCCAGTATAGAAGGGTGAAGTCTGGTCAACACCGACTCGACCCACTCACAAGCACTCTGTGGCCTAGGTCACCGTCCCCCACCCCCATACGGCACGTGTGCCCAAACACCTGATGGGAAGGTTAAACTCCTGCTGGGCAGCCTCTAGAAACCGGGTAAGGGGCTCATCAGGTTGGTAGAAACCAATGAGCAGAATCTCCTGCATCCCAGGGACCTGAGAACAAGAGGAAAAAGAAAAAATCTGATGGGAGGGAATGTTGGGGGATCCTCTGGAACCGTCCAGGGTCCAGAGACCACAGTTCTTGGTCTCCGCTGTGGGGCCCCTGGGCACTCATTTTACCTCTCTGGCCTGATTTCTCCTCCAGACAAAACGGAAGTTAGAGGAAGTCTGCCCCTTGGTCGTTCAATCTTTTATTATTTTATTATTCCCCCCACCCCAATCCCGCATCTGAGGATCAATCACACTAGGAAAGATTCTGCCCACCAGGTTGCATGAAATGATAATCCTTTCATTTCCCCCCATATTTATTATCTGACAATCTGAGCATGAGATCAGCATGAGATAAGGGTGCCATTTATCAAGTGCCTACTTTGTTCGAGGCACTTTACCAACCTCATCTCTAAGCTCTGTCACCCTACAAAGTAGGTTTAATCACCCCATTTGACAAATAAGGAAACCAAGGCTCACGAAGCGGGGGGGAAATCTACTCAAGTCCTGAGAGCAGGCAGCGACTGGATTCGGATAAAACCCTGCCATTCCCAATGCCAAAAGCAAGACAGAAATTAGCTCCAGAGTGAGCAAGGGTTTGAGTTCCGTCATTAAGGTTCCTCACGCTACAGCTTTAAATGGTCTCTAAGATTCCGGCGTGTTCTCACACTCCATGCTTTAAAAATAGGAGTGAAATCTAAACAAGAAGAGGCCAGATGAGAGACCAGATTAGGAAGGACAGCAGGGCAGTTGCACTGCATAACTTTGAGGGACACCGTTCATACTGTCATTTGTAAGTGGTAGTCCTTGGAGCAAAGCCTGGTGGGAACAGGATATGATTGGAAAGGGGGACATACAACATGAAGGAGATGAGCAGGAAGTGAGGTGGGAGTGGGGAGCCTCTGGGGTTACCTGGGCACAAGCCTCAATGTGGTGCTGGATCATAGGGACCCCTGCCACTGGAAACAGGGGTTTGGGCACCTCAAAAGACAAAGGCCTGAAGCGAGTCCCTGAGGGAGGAGAGAGAAGCCCATTTCAGCTTCCTGCCTCCCTCCCTCGGTCTCTGCTCCATCAACCGCTCCAGCCCGACCTCCCTACTCCTTTCCCGGGGCTCCTCACCCTTTTGAGGGCCTCCGATCAGGATCACAGCTTTCAGCATGATGGCAATTGCTACTGAAACCTCAAACCCCAACAGAGAAATCAGGTTCAGATCTCACACCCCAAGCCAAGAACCCACATCCCAAGCAAACCCCAAACCCCAAATAGCCTTCTCACAGGATGTAAATCCAAAATTCAATGTAGTCTTTCCCTGGACACAACCCGTCACACGTCCCATACAGGTCAAATCCAACCCAGATTCCAATCGACCTTAAAACCCCGCTGTGGTTTCTCCTAAATCCTGAAATTCACACCTTGCAGTTTGATCCAACAGGCTTCTCTGTGGCCATAAACAAATTTAGCTAACTAAGAAACTCAGTAATAGACCTCTTAGACCCCAAACCTCGAACCCGAAGCCCCAAACCCAATGATTTCCAATTGTTACATTCTTATGTTGGACACGTTAAGCCCTGAATCCCAAGGGTGAACCCTGAATACTGAATCTCAAATCCTGAGTATGCCCTAGATATTTAACTGCAATCCTAAGAGTAAATCCCTAGAAATAAGGTAACACTGATCCGCATCTGATGAATCCCAAGTACGTGCAAAAACCCTCTATATGCTGAACTTGAATCCTAAGACTAACCTCTAAGTGATGAATCCCGAAACAAAAGACATTACTTCCTTGGCATCTCAAACACGGAATCTACTACCCCCTGAGTCCCAATACTGGCGACAAGGGTTGAAACTCTGGATTCGGAGGATTGACTGCTGACCCTCTGAACCCTACAACTGACTCTAACAAACCCTAGCCTTGCGTAGCCAGCGGTTGCGGGGCTAACACAAGAGCAGACCTCCGAAAGGCCAGCCGGGACCTCCGCGCAGCCCTCGGTCTAGGAGCGGTCCTCTTCCCTCTACCCCTTTTGCCACCCCTCCATCAGCTCCCTTTACCACTACTAGGTCCCTTTATTCCAGTTCTGCTGCCAGCTCTCGCTTGCTCCTTCCGCGCACGTGTCTTCTCGCAACTCGCGAGAACTCCTTCGCGGAGTATGCCGGGAGTAGTAGTTCTTAAGATCTTGCCTGACATAGCCCTCCCCTTTACCCCTCCGCTTCTATGAAAGAGGAGGGAGGTGGGACTAATGGGAGAAGAAGGGGCGCGGCCAAGGGATCAGGGGCGTGACTAAAGAGAAGGGTGGGGCCTAAGAGGCAGAGGCTGGAAGCTAAGATTAGGACCCCGAACTGTCCAGGAATGGGCCCCGCAGTAGCCGCCAAAGTAGAGAACAGGATCGCGGAGAGGCGGGGCTAGAGACGAGAGGGGGTGTGGCCAGCCCCGAGATGGGCGTGGCGAGAGCCTCCAGCCGCCGCGAGTGGGTGGGGCTTGAGGCACTCAGAAAAAGAGAAGGCGGAGTCATAAGCTCCTCCGACTGTCCGGCTGGGAAGGGAAGGAGCTTCGGACTGCGAGAGAAAGCTTGTCTCAGATTTACAGTCTGTAAAATAAAGCACTGGGCCAGTCACTCTCCCAACATTCTGACACCTTGGTGTGTGAGTCTGGAGTAAGCGTGGGTGCGAGTGCAGGGATAAAGAAACGGCGTCTCCAAAGAACAGAACGTGCGGAGGGTCAGAGAGAGCCGCTTTATTAAGCAAGATGGAGGAGGGTTGTCGGTCCCACCCACCCCGGGGCTTGGAGCCAGGGCGAAATGTCCGAGCGTTCCTTTCAGGCCACGTCCACGCGAGCGAAGCTCTGGTCCATGCCCAGGCTGTTCTCCACGTACACCTCGTACTTGCCGCTGTCCTCGGGCGTGGCCCGGCGGATGGTCAGAGTCGTGGTGGTACTGCCGATCTCGAAGAACACCCTGGCGGGGAGAGCGGGAGTGGGGAGGGCGGGCCGCGGTCAGGTTACGCGCGCCCGGGGCCGGGCTGGTTAGCCAGCTCTGGCGCTCGCCCCGCGTCCCCCGCCCCCGGCCCACTCCCGCCAGTTTTCTGGGCCCCGTTTCGCCCCAGCGGCGGGTCCCCGCCCTCGCCTGTCATCCTCCTCGATGTCCTCCCCGTCCTTGGTCCAGCCGACGTCGGGCGCAGGCTCTCCCATGATCTCCGCAGTCAGCGTCACCGTGGCGCCTTTGCGCGCCTTAGTGTTGTCCGGTCCCTTTTGAATCTTCGCAGGGACTAGAAGAGAAAGGGCATGCGACCTCACCTAGGGGTGAGGCGGAGCAGGGCCATCACCTCCCCAGATAATACCCGGCACTAAATACGAGATGGATTTAAACTCGCAGTGTGACTTTGGGTAAGTCTGTAGCCTCTCTGCGGCTTCATCTCCCCAAGCTGTTAAACCCGGCTAGTAGCTGCCGGTTCAACTTCCCACGGTGGGAATGGAGGATCAAAAGAGATACCACGAGTGAAAGCCCGGGGATGTTTACACATCTCGGTGCCTGGGATACAGCTCCGGGTAGTGGAAATTGCCCTCGGTTGGAGCTCGAAGACCTGAGCCCTAACGCTGGTTCTGCCTCTGGCTCAATGTGACCTTGGGGCCCTCGTGTGGAGTGATTGAAGCCCACTGCAGACCTCTCCGTCTGGGTGGGAAGGGCTCCTGAAGCAGGCTGCGCCCCCAACCCTATCGGGACTCCGTAAGCCCAACGGATCACGCGCCGCTGGACGCATTGCGCCGCGTGGTGGCTCCCGGGGCGCGCTTACCTTCCACCATGATGCGCGCCGAGTCAGAGCACTGGCCGAAGGGGTTGGTTACGTTGATGCTGTACTGGCCCAGGTCGGCCAGCTCGCCGTCGCGCACCACCAGGGCGACCACGTCAGGGTCCTCGAAGACGTAACGGTACTTGGGCCCGTCGCGCAGCTCCTTGCCATCCTTACTCCAGCGGATGAATGGGTCCGGGAACGCCGAAATGCGGCATGTCAGCTTGGCCGCGCTGCCCTCGATCAGCACCACGTCCTTCAGTGGCTCCAGCACCCGTGGTGGCCCCTTCTCGCGAAGTTCCTTCCGGGACCTGCGAGAGAGCCGGCTCAGGGCCCAGAGCCCCCACGACGCGGGTCTGGACCGCCGGCACCAAGTCCCTTGCCCCCTGCCCCCTCCCCACTCGGTCCACTAGAACTTTAAATGTGGGGGTGGGTTCGGAGGGAGCCTGCTCTTGGGTTGTTATCCTGATGAACTGATTTATTCTTGTCTGCCACCGTGCCACACCTCACTAACCGCTCTCCTCTAAGTCCAGTGACCCCAGCGGTCTCTAACACTGTGCTCAGCTTCCATCCCCCACGCAGCAGGGGCTCTTTCTGCAACTCCAGCTCCCTTCCTCCTGAGGGTTCTGGGCTCCCCCTCACCTGTGGCCCCGGTAAGAGGCTTGGATGCGAATGGCTGCGCGCTGGACCTGGGGATCGTTGATATCCAGGGTACATCCCGGAGGCGGGGCCGCAGCCGCTGTTTTTCTGGCGGGAGCTGCTTTGGACATCTGGGGAGCGCGAAACAAACGTGAGGTCTAGGCTGACACAGAGATTTTGACTTTCAGCCTTTTCCCTGTCAGTTCAGAACATTCTCGGGGATGGGAGTGTCTGGGCTGGACTGAGGATGGGGACTCACCGTGGGCGGGTCGACTTCAGGACTTGGGTCGACTAGTTGGGTAGGAGGTGGGACAGAGCCCTTCTGGAAGGCACAGTAGGGGCACGAGCAGGTGCTCAGCTGAGGGCCACGGTTTTATACATCGCTCCCCTCCTTGCCTTGTTTGGCGTGGTTGCCCCAAGCCCCCCGGGAACCCCAACTCCGCCCACTGACCCAAGCTGGCTCCTTATTTAGCCTGAGGATGTGTTGGGATGCTGGCTCAGCCCCTGGGGCAGGCCCCGGGGAGGAAACCCGAGCAGCTCTGGGGTGTGCTTCATGTCAGCACCTGGACAGCTGGGCAGCTGGATGCGGCCCCATCCCTTCCCAGGGCAGGGGGTAACCATCCCACTCCTGGGAGGACCAGATGAGGGCCCAGGCTAACAAGAGATTCAGCTCCCAGCTGGGGCAGCTTTACACTCTGGTCAGTCCCCAGACAGTCAGACAACATGCTCTTCCCAGGACACTGGGCATGAGTGTTTGTGGGGGTGTCCCTGAATAAAGCTAGAGTAGCGGGGTACTTCACTGTCCATCCAGCCAATTATGAGAGGGCAGTGTGGCTGTCAGGACCAATCTGGAACACTTACTCCCTTGGCCCTGGGAGTCTAGGGTTGGCATTTCCGCACTGTGCCCCCTGGCGGTCAGCTGAGATAAACCTAGAGGGAACGGTAAAGATTTTTGAGAACAGCACCCCCTTCTACCACCCCAGTCCCACTCACTTCCTTCCATGTGACGTGACAGGGTCTGGCTGGGCTGCACTGTCCAGGGAGATTGGCATTAATGCCGATTCCCCAATTCTAGGTCTGCCCAAGCCCCTTTAGGGTCATAAACGAGTGCATAGGGGCATCAGAAAGCTTGGGTAAAAAGGGTTCAATTAACCCTGCTGGCACTTGCCTGGAGTCCAGTCTACCCAGCCCAGGGCACCAGGTAGAACATTGCTTCCACTCATTGTAACTGCCCGCCCAGGTGTGGAGCACTGTCACCTTTTGATCAGAGCAATTTTGACACAGCTCTGCTGACATAAATTACCTTTGCTCCTCCGGGTTTGGAACAAGCAGTTCACATGCCATTTTCAATGGAGATGGGAAGGGAACTCAAGATCAGAGTGGGGACGGGAGAGGAATTTTACCATTTGTCAAGATATGAGTTCAGGCACCTCATTTTTGTATGAAAACACTTGCAGTGAGTAGGGGATTAAAGACTCTCACAGGCAAACTGTATATCTTCATTGCAAAAATGACAGGTGGGCAAGACATCTCTGTAGTCCCTTCCAGCTGGCTTGAACATCCTGTTATTTTATGATGATGGGACTTGCCTCTTCTCTGGGGTTCCTGAGAAGCCAGAGAGGCTGGGCTGGGCTGGGCGAAAGGTTGTTTAGGGCACAGGCAAAGGGCCCCCATCCGCAGTCAGCAACACACCAGTGCTACCTCTCTCTGCTCGTGATGGGAGGAGACTTTAATTCCTTTCACTCTGCCGAGAACAGAGTTTCCAAGGTAGGGAGGAGGTGGGAAACAGCCTCCCTGGATACAAGAAGAACTGGCTCCTTCCTCCCCCTTCAGCTCTGGGCAGAGCAGCTCAGTTCTAGGACCCAGTGATCATTCTGCAGTGTTCCAGGGGAGCAGCTAAGGTCAAGGGGCCTCAGCACCCATCAGACTCTCTCACATGCCACGGGGACAAGAAGATCCAGGTTGATGTGCCCCTTGGCTCTAGGAAGATGCTCATCTGTGGCCCTATCTCAGCAGCCACGCTGGCCACAGCCTGTGCAGCTGGCACCCCACGTGCCCGATTGGTGCTCTAGCACAAAAGCACAGAGCTGGAGCGTGTCCTGGTTTCCTCTGTGGCATTTCATACCATTGTCACGATCTTGCCAATTATCCTGATGAAACCCCTTCTGTTCCAGGGGTCGGGACGAGCTGGCCTGTCTCCTGGGCAGAGTGAATGAGGCCAAGCCAGCCCCGGGGATGTGGGCTGGTACATTCCAGAGCCCAGTATCCTCCCAGGGGCAGTGAGGTAATATGGGA